TGAATACAGTCTCTCATTCATACCCACAGGATATCATTGAAAAGTCTGATTTTAAACAATGATCTCTTTCACTTTTGAAAGGAAAGTAAATGATGTGTTGATTCAGAGTTTTAGTTGTTTGGCTTTAGTGTAGCATGTGGCAAACTTCAAACTCAGACATTTTAAATACGGAGTATTATTTTAATTGTGGCTGAAGTAAAACTAGAGGACTTAAGTCCCCTGGTTGCTCTGCCTTGTCTCGACAGAAATATCAGGTGTCTTCCTGTTGCTTAAGGAAACAAACACCACTCTTGCCTTACTCCTCTTTTCTGTCTTCTCCTCTTCTCCTCTTTTTCACTCTGTACTTCCTCCTCCACTGCTGCTCTTTCTTTCATTCATTCATTCTCTTCATCACATCATACAGCGAACAGGATATTGCTGAACACCCGGCAAAGCTCATGGAAGAGCAGAAAAAATTGGATCAGGAGTTATTTAGGTCAGTGGTTCAGGTGAGCACGACTGAGTCGAAAAAACCTGTCTGTGCTACAGTAGGACATGGATCGATTCCCTATCTCTTGACCCCCACGATGGTATCTTGGTGTGTGTGTGTGTGTGTGTGTTTGCATGTACAGACCTTTCTCTGTACCCACGTGTTGACAGTGCAGTGCATTCAGCATTTAATCATGACCGATTTAATTAATTTCCAGGCGGACCGCTGAGGCCCAGACTCTCCCTAATCATTCCAGATCTTTAGCCAATGCCATCACCCCCGATTCCAGCATGGCTTTTTTGTGCACAGCCATTTATTGAATAAATATACGTGGTGAGAAATCAAGACAATAATCAATGTTGACAAATGTTATGCCCATTTTAGCCATGCACACTCTGATAATTATAGATTTATCAAGATCAGATAGTGTTTGTAGAAGCTTCCTGTGGGTGACATTTGTGCAGTAGCCTATGACCTCAAACTGCAAAATATAAACAATGGAAATACATTAATGACTAGAAATGGGACAAATATATATTATACACTAAAGATTTATAGAAAAAAATGTCAGATATTTCTGAAATTATACTGTCGCCCCAAAAATGTAAAGGAAATGAGACAGATGAGTTTCTACAGGTTTGTCACTATAGCTCCTTGAGGCACAATGGCTAAGAGAATTAAAATGAAGGAACCATCATCATGTTTGAAGTCAACACTCTACTAATATGTGATTTTTCATCTGAAGGCCAATATCAGGCCACTTCATTAGCTGATGGTTATGGTGTAAGAGTATAATGCCCATGAATGGCAGATGAAGTAGGATGGTATTGGCCTTAACCTTTATTCTGACCACCAGCTGATTCATATGTAGGCCTCTGTCAGTTGTCCTCACAGCACACTGAGGCCTATGTGTTACAGCACTGTGTCTCCCTTTGCACGCGAGATCCCACTTTATCTTTCCATCCGGTTCCCTTGGCCCAGCTGTCAGATTCTCAGAAAGCCCGAGTGGTGCGTCAAAACCTCGCCATTTGCCTTTTTTTTGTGCCAAGGCTTTGCCTCCCCAACACCTGCCCAACTCCCCTGCATCCCTCCACCCTAGGCTCACCACCCACTTCGCTATCCCCCATTCCTCCAGAGGTAAACGCTCCATCAGTCGTTTCACCTTCAGCGCGAATCAATAACATGGCCACGGCGGCTTACATGGATGGACGCTGGCACGGCGCGGCGCACACCAGCCGTCCCTCCATCATGCACCACAACTCTCATCACACCATCCGTCATTTTAACACCACGACAAACGGGGAACATTGTGATTCACCGCAGTGACAGTTTATTCCCCCGATTTCACTGGAGGGCTTGTGATGCTCAATGTGAAGGGCACAGCCATGCCTGCCTGCCTGCGCCGGCTGCTGATGCAACTACAGCCCCTGCTGCTTCATATTCCCTCGCTTTATTCAGGGAGCGCATCAGGGTGATGGAGACCCGTGTGCGTGGACAATGGTGACTGACATGGAGTCACACAGATACGGGCTGTCGACATCACCCTTGCCGCTCTCTGGTAATTCCACTCCAGGGCGACTGGTCACAATGTCAGCGCTGCGAAACCAGACGGATGGACTCGCACACACACTCTCTCTCCCTCTCTCTCTCTCCCTCACACACATTCACACATGCACACACAGTTACTTACAATTCCTTTATGAGCATTTTTTGGCGGCGCAGTGGAATATATATCCCAGAGGGCAGCAGCTCAGTGCAGGTCCAGAAACAGGGTCGATCCCTCCCTCCGATGGTCTCTTCTTTCTTTCCGCTCGCTTCTCTTACACCTCTCCCCCTCTATGTCATCCTACCTCCACAGTCGCTTATTTTCTTCACATCCACTTCCTGATCGGAGCCGCGGCGATGCGTTGCTGTTGCGCGCAGAGCCACCGAGGCCTGTGAGGCGCAGAGCACACCCACAAAAGGATGGTTCCGCAGGGGTGAGTGCCCGGTGGGTCCACACAGCTCAGAGGACCGAGCTGATCCATTCAGTTTTTTAAATGCACTATAAATAAACGTACACTGAGGCTAAACCCTTTAGTAAGAATTAACATTAAATAGACAAATAATGTTGGAGCCGTTTATTGGATACTGACAATCAACTAAATATGAATTGGTTACAAATGAAAATAGAAGACAAGACAACAATACATTTCAAGTTCAAGTTGGCAATAAAACATTTATATTAATATCTGAGCCATAAAGGGGCCACAATTTAAGCAGACACACACAGCAAATGGGCAATGGCGGCATCTCCTGTTGTGTTCTCACATTGGCTCCTTCAGACATTCTGCAGATTATTTACCAGGGAACAGGGAGAGGAGACACTTTGCAGAAGCCACATTATTAATAAATTATATGAGTGATCATATAATATCAAGATAATGTAAATTCATACCACAAAGCCCACAACAACTCACACTAAATACATGTAGTCTAGATAAACTTAAGTAACAGGGTCCTGCACAGCTCTGATGTGGTGCAGGACCAATGAGTTTATCTGCACCCTCGTTCTTGTGAGTGTGCTACACCCTCCGCGTCATCGCAGTGACAGTGACGTAGAAACGTGGTTACTCACCGTCAGAGTATATATATGGGCATGACACGGGGACCACCAGCGATGGACGCACGGTGCGTCAGCTCTGCAAAGCCCTTTAAGCAAAGTCTCCGCAACGGATGTGATTATCTGCATCCAAAAAAATCCGTCAAACCCACTCATGTCCACACTGATGACTGACTGACATGACCTCATTTGTTTTACATTAAAACCACTGTGACGAAAAGCTTGAGCCCACATCATCATACATGTATACCTGTACTTTTCTCCCCAGGACCCCTGGTGGTCCCTTGCATGGCCACACTTTGCTCCACCACCCTCGACCCTGTGGAAATGGTGCTGGCGCGTGATGCTGATGGCATCACAGGTCCCTAATCCAGTCCCACGTCCCGAGGATCGCAGGATGTGATTGCGTGTGCGTGCGTGTTTGGCTAAAATTACGTAACAGCGCACTGCTGCTGTATTTATAGCGCATCTGTATCCGTCTGCCAACAAGCGCTTATCATCATCCCCCTGTCTCCTCAGCTCTGTACAGCCTCCACCAATCTATCTATCTATCTATCTATCTATCTATCTATCTATCTATCTATCTATCTATCTATCTATCTATCTATCTATCTATCTATCTATCTATCTATCTATCTATCTATCTATCTATCTATCCATCTGTTTATCTATCTATCTGTCTATCTATCCAAGAATTAACATTGTCAAGGAAAATCTGCCCAGTTCTTCTAATTTTATAACCCATTCCAAAAGAACAAGGGACAAAAATAGAGTAGGAATAAAACTAAAATACATTTCGAGTTTATGTTTGCACGTCACTTTTTACATCACCACTCAGCAGTGGCAGATCTAGGGGCCCACAATTTACACAAGTTCCACATTTAAGTCATTCCTCGGTTACTGTTAGCTCTATGGCTTTGAGCAAAGTCACACATCATTGAATAAATAAAATAAAAAAGATTTTTTTTTAAAAAGACTTCTGAAAGGAAAGGGGTAATGGCCAATCCATCCATCTATCTATTTAAACTACGGTAAAAAATATCTTTATTTGATTAAAATAAGTCAAAGTAGAGTGGAAATAATCTAGTATTGGCTAAGTAATCATGTAATAATATAAATTTGCGATTTCATAATGGATGTGTATGGGAGGCTTATGTACCACAGTGTTTGGTGCAGAACAAACACTGTGGTACATGAGTAACATCTGGTGTTAAAACATCTGTCACCATCAGCAACACTGTTGATATGACACCTGTTACATATGAAACATGCATGTTATACAGAACATGCTGGATACACTAGTCTCAGTTAAGATGTCTCTACATTTTGCAGGTTTGTTACAAATGTTTGGGAAATTAGTTTGACTTATTTGTCAGTGTATTTTAAAAATCCTGATGTTTCAGTAAAATATAACTAAAATGATGTTGCAATTAGGCCCAAAGCACCATGATTGACCCTTATCTGGTGTGGAGCATGTTGAGGCCCTCAACCACAGGTCTTTAATACTGACCTCTGCTGGTTGGTTGCAGGCTGACCTAAAACAAAAAATATGTATGTTTCTTTAACCTTTCTGAAATTATACAGAGTTTTTAATACCTAAACAAAAACTTCAAACAGAGACAGAAACTCAAATTGTTTTCCCCCCAAAACTGAATTTCATATGAAAGCCTGAGGTAATAATATCTATATAACATGCATGTTTTCATATGTAACAGGTGTCACAAGGAGTTGAACCAACCTGAATACAGATATCCACTTTGTGAGCAGGTTGTTTCTCATCATTAAGTAATGTATTGAGATGTAATCTCTGTTATAATGCCACCTCTCAGAAGTGTTAAATACCCAGAGCTTCAGATAAGAATCACATAGATATAGTTACACACAGAAATATAGTGTAGCCTGGTGAGTAGTGAGGAACAGGAGCAAACATTTAAAGAGATCAACACATTTTTATTAACCCCCAAGAATGATTCCAAATTAACCTAGAATACAACAAACATCTCTTTATTATGTTCAATGATAGAAGACAAGAGCTTGATACAAACAACACAGTATATGACATGTTTGTAGTTGGCAGCCTGGCCTCATTAAAATACGGTACTTTATGAGGTTGATGATGGAAAGAAAAAATGAGTGTAAGATAAAATAAATATGTGTAAAAGTGAGACTCTATCTATCAGGAGAGAAGTGCTGAAATGAGCTGGTGTGTTCACAAGGAATAAAGTGCTGCATTTCTCTTACAGTAGACAGAAAGAATGAAATACTCACTTTACGCTAAGGCCTCTGGATAATGATGGTTTCATGGATGCACGTATGTGCACAAGAAGTTGTATTATGATATATTTTCACTGATATGTCAACGTTCAACAGAGCATTCTGCTACTGAACAATAAATCTCATCTTTTATATGAGGCTATATCTAAAAAGAAACATCTGATAAACTTAAGGTATAAAAAGAAACAAAAGAAACAAAATAAATAATCTAAACATTTTGCTTTTAGCAAACTTACCAGAGTTTGTTCTTACGGAATACAGCCACGTAAAACACTGACAGTATAATTTTTACTGAATAATAAGATTTTAGCCTTGTAATTAAAAAAGCCCCATAATTAATCTTAATAAAGTCCTCTCTTCTCGTTCATCAGCAATAAGGCTCGACTCTCCTCCCTGTCACTCATCAATGCCTATTACACCACACTTAACCTTCCGGCATCTGTCCAGATAGCACCATGTTTTTGGGACTCACAATCAGGAAAGAAAACAGAATTCATACAACAATGGAATCACACATAAATGACGCTGGCATTTCAAAAGTAGAAAATTGTGGGCGACACAAGCTTTCTTTTCCTTCGTACAGTGAAAATAAAAGCAGTCTTATGTGAAGCTGAGCTGCACCGACGTGCTGCTGAGAGAGGAGGGTATAAAAGAGAGAAGTCAGAGGATTTTGGGGGGAATGCAGAGAGCTGACGCCTCTTTCCTTTCACAGTCTTTTCCTCTCTCTTCTTCTTCTTTTTCCCTCTACACGTTTCACTTTTCTCCTCAGCAACACTGTTCCAATGAACTCGTTTCCATGGCAACAACAGCCTAAGTTCATCTTGGTGGGATTTTGGGAAAATGGAGGTGGCAATTTTGTTTGCTCGTGTGTGATTGATGGATAAATGTGACGTTTAAGATTTCAGTTGTCCTTTTACATGTGTATGTGTGAATGTATCAGTGGATTGCCACTGTTCTCCGTCTCTCGCGCCCCGTGCTTTCCTCTAGACGTAGGCCTCTGGGATGTCGGAGCCATTTATTTTGATGAAGATCTTGGCTTTCTCCTCCTTCTGCTGTTGCTGTCTGTTGAGTGTCCATCTGTAGTAGATCAGGTAGAGCGGCAGCAAGAAGCCCAGCATACTGAGGACAAGGAGTCCAATGTTGACCTGGAGGAAAACACCAAAGTTAGAATGTGCTAAAGGGTTTTAATTCAGGCACAGAGTCTGTTTGAGTGCACGCATATTCGTACCCAGAGAGGGTCTCCCTGCAGGGGTCCCATCATAGCCAGAAACAGTGGCTGCTGCAGCAGAGCAAACACAGCGCTGACCAGAGACTGCATGCCTGTTAGACTGCCGAACTGAGAGGATGGATACCTGGAGAGAGAGGACAGGTAGATTTAGTGCCTCAGTTTGAAGAGTCATACTGCAGAAGATCATGATGATGATTATGGTGACACATGTGTGTGAGAGACTTACACAGCGGCATAGAGGCCACCGACAGCAGAGTGAATGAATCCTCTCACCACAGTGTGAAGGACAAATGACACGATCTGAGATGGAAGATAAGATAAATACAATACATGTATTATCACTTCAGTATAATGCAGTCAATTGGTTTATAAGTGTTCAAGCCCCTAAAGGAAATGTTCAACATGTTTGCAAAATGTGCTTTTTGACTGTGTGAGAATAAAATAAAAACATGGATATAACTTTGTCCATTAAAAATGAAGCTGGAGATGGTTAGATTAGCTTAGCATAAAGACTGGTAACAAAGGGGAACAGCTAACCAGACCTGTGCTTCTGTCAGCCACCAGCGGGCAATTAAGACACTTAATGCTGATTTCAAAGACATTGTTATTGACACACAGTGAAGATGTTAACCAGGTTAACTTTTACATAACTGTGTGTTTCTGCTGCCAACAGCCTGAGGTTAATTAGTAATGTCTTTACAAAGAGACAGTGATAACACTGTTAGTAAGGCAGCTGTATTCCTGAAGTACTCGATGGCCTGTGTGTGGCAGAAGTGGACCACTCACCTGCAGGGGGAGATTGGGCACCAGGCATGTGATCCCAAATCCTACCAACAGGATGTTTGTGAGGAGGAATGCTCGCAGGGCATTGGTCACCTTCTGGGTCTTTTTGTCTCTACGCTTTTTCTTTGGCTCGTCCCTTGTGACAGAGAAGAGGTCAGACAATCAGACATTGATACCACAACTTTATTTCACAATACAGGATAGCTTCTAGGTTCTATTCCTCCTTCACTACGCTGACAAATACTGTCAATATTAATGTCTGGTTATATAAATGAAAAGGGGTTCAGACACACAGGGGGTTTGGGGGTTTATCCTCCATCGTGGGTGTTTAGTGGTTTTGACTCACTTGCTGCAGGGTTCCTGTTCCTCCGCTCCATCGCTGCAGTCCTTCAGTTTCCAGTCCATGATCTGACCAATCACAGGCGTGGTCATCAGACAGAGCAGCTGCAGCACGCCAAAGATGGAGGAGTAGAGACTCACTGAGGGAGAGAGGGGAAAAGGATGAAAACGATTAAAATTGAAAATAAATGGGAAAAAAATGAGGTTAAGATTAGAAGGAGGGACTGTTTTCTACCCTGGTTAATGGAAATTATGTCATTGTTAATTATTAGTCTTGTTATAACTGCTGGAGCCATAATACTTAGTGAAAGAGTTGGATACGGAGAAGCCAAAAGTTAATACAAGGTCATTACTAGGTGGATTTATGGTCTGGGGGGACTAATGATAAATGAGCCATGTGAAACTGCTCATATGATGTGTAATCTCTGCAGGTGCTGAGGGGCAAAGTTAGTTAATGAGTACAGCAAATGATACCTGGTGACTTCAGGTTAAAGCTGAATAACAGCTGAAAGACTGTGTTATGGACAAGAGCCAAGGTCAAATGATGAAACACTAAAGCTGTGACAGGAAGTCACGGTAGAGGAGTATTAGATTGCAATGACAGGCCTGGACATGACTAGAATAACCTCGGCCAAGAAGGTTCTGTTTCCACCCCTGTCCGTTTGTTTTTTTGAGTGATTGTAAGCAAGACTACGTAAAATCGAATAAATGGATTACCATGAAACTTGGTGGAAGGATGTGGTATGGGTCAGGAGTGAACCCATTAAATTTTGGTATGGATCCAAATAACATTTTAAACACTGCAAGATAGGGCCTTTATTTGCCTTTGTACATTTTTACTGTTTCTCTAGGGATATAAGAAGATAGGAATATCATTGATGTTCATGAAAAAATATCAGATGCATTCAGGGAACTGATATCTACGAGTGTGTGAAACTTAGTGCAGCTTTAAGTAGATTGTTGGGCCTGGGTGGAGGTTTATGTGCTCTACGAAGTAACATTCTAGTTCTAGTAGATGTCAGCTAAAAGTTAAAAGTTTAAACTACTAATACAACAATAGTCTTACCAACTTCCATTCTCTCCACTGAAAAGTCAATGAAAACCAAGTAAGTCCTGCGGCATTGAAATCTTGTCAATCAAATATATCACTGAGCAGCCTGTGTCATAAACAAAGCACCAATCAGACCTGTGTTGAGGTCTCCGTCGCTGAGAGACTCCAGGACGCTGTTCATGGCCCCCATGTAGAACAAGAGACGAAGCTGCGTGACGGACATGGTCAAAGCGCTGAGCAGGAAGATCGGGCTGATGATGCTTTTCAGGAATGACTGGGCTGCAGAGGAGATAAACAAGTCAATGATGTGCACCGGATCTACTCTCACTGCGATTGTCACTTCAACTTCTGCTCCCTTACACTCTTCTTGTGGCTTGCAATCCATCTCCAGGTCCATGGTGGACAGGCAGAGCTTGTGGCCGTCCTTGGTGGCGAGCTCCTTCTGCTTCAGGCTGTTGCCCACGCTGAGACGGCGGCCCACCGTTGTCACCTGCCGGTAAAACTGCTTCCCTGTGATTTTGTGGTCAAAGCCCAGCCAGCTGAACTTGATCTTCACACTGGGGGGGGGGGCAGATGAGATAAGAGGGGAGGGGGTGATGGAGGAATAGAAAAGATGGAGTAAATATCATGAATAGAAAATTGTGATGAGTCTTAATGTGAGTCAGTAGACTGTCATCAAGTCTTCTGCTCAATAGGCAGGTTCAGTTGATGAGTGTGCAGATAGACTTTAACCTAGAGCATAGTACACAGCACTTCCCCCCAGCATATTACATAATTACATCTTGAACTGCAGGAAAAGCTAATGAGAATGAGAATATCAACTCAGAGTAACACTATAGACTGTTTAATTGATCTATGGCACTAACGTGTAGTCCATGTCCTCTGGTCCTGGGAATGGTTCCAGTGGCCAGTTGAAGAAACAGTTCAGGAAGACCACTCCAGCACAGGCAGCCCACACCACCAGAATAGAGATGAAAGATATGCCCATGTCATAGATCACCTGCACACATCACAACATGGCAAATACATGTAAAAAACAACAGAAAAGACAACATATATAAGAAATCCAGTGTTTCGATATTTTAAATCTGCTTCTGGTGTCATATGTCCTTCATTGCACACGGTTACAGCCCAATAATGTTCAATAAGTGGCTACATACGTAATGTTCTCTGGGAAAGATCGTTTTCTCAGTGGTGGTAATACAAATTGAGGATGATTTTATAGTACCACAAGGAGGCACAATGTCTTCTGATGTTGCAGGATCACTCAGTTAACATGTTAGACAACATGTGGTTGCAGTTGTGATCCGCATTTAAGAAGAGTTATGGCAGCTTATGTTATTATGTTTTTACATTATGTTGTAAAAGACTGAATAACACTCATAGGAGCTATAAAAAAAAACTGCTAACATATATAATGTCAGCGCAGGCGTGTGGATGTGTGCTTCAGAGCTTGTTACCTTGACACCAGGGAATGTGACGGCTGAAGATGCATAAGACCCGATCATAAGAGCGATGAAGGTGGAGCGGAGGTCCCCGAACATGTTGGGCAGCTAGAGAAGACACAGACAGATCTTGAATTTAGACTTTAATACGATTATAATATCATCATGACCTGATTCTGCTTTTATGAGTCAGGAGGAAGTTTCCCATTGTTAATATGAGTATAAAGGTTAAATCATCTAGTGTCTAGATCCTGGTGATCTCAGCTGCTCTTTGGTTGCTCTGAGCCTGACGCCATGGGGGGGACACACCAGCAAAAGCGATATGAAACATTGTCTATACAGCTGAAACAATCGGTGATCGAGGGCAACTGAGGTGGGGTGACGATCGAGGAATAAGGATATGCTTTGAGGACAGACAAAGACGAGAGTTAATTTTCTCTGACTGGCTTTTGAGGAAAAGAGAACAGGGAGATGAAAACAGGCAGGAGACAGTGGGTGGCAACAAAAACACCCAAATACAAAGGCATTCACAAGCTGTTTTGTTTTCGTGAGACTGAGCAACAACAAGCACATTGAATTACATAAGAGAGGGAGGGGGGTGCGAGGAAGAGGCATGTGCATGTGTCTGAGGGAGTAGGGACACTGTTACACAGAACGTTACAGAACGTTACACTTTTATCAGCGCAGGGTACATGAAAAATAACTGCTGCAGGGGGGTTTTGAACTTTACAGATACATTAGGACAAACCTGGGGCAGAGATGTGACCTTTAGCAGGGAGCCGGCGTCAGAATGAACGATTGCTTGTAGTTCTGAGGTGGAGTCGTAATCAAGGAGTTAAGGAGCAACATGGAGTCTAATTATTAACCAACACTGACTTTAGGGTGTGAAAGTGATGATGTGGAAGGGGACATAAGGGGGAAACATGTATTTTATACCGAGACTCTGGAGGCCTCCTGTGTAAATCCACGGTTTTACATCACTGACATTAAAGCTAGTGGCAGCTACTAATGAGAGATTTAGGTGGATGCAGCTAATGCCACATAGGAGATGAACTATGCAGCCTGTGGTGGTATAGAAAGTGAATGTTTTATTGGGTGATTAACTGCAGCAGAGCCCCTCTCTTGTGAAAAGCATCACCATGGTACAGGCCAGGACTCCTGTGTGTAGGCTGAACTGATGGCACCGGGAGGGAACAGGAGCATGAAGAATGGCACGGGAAGAATGCAAAGGAATGGTGAAGGACTGACCTGTGTGAACTCTGCAGATTCTCAGTTGTTTTTCTCTCCCTGTGTATTTGGTTACAGGTTTTGTGGAGTGGAGTGGAACTTGAAGGGACTGTTCAGCCTAGGTGGAGGTATGCATTCTGCTGAGTTACCTATGCAAAGGAGTTTTCTCCCCTGTCCACTGGTTTGTTTGTTGCTTGATTTAACTTGATTGTTTCTCAGCAGGATTATTCCAAGTTTTACTAAAAAACATATTTCCACCAACTTTTGGAAGAGTCACGGGCAAAGAAAGAACACATTTAATTTTGGCACAGATCCGGACAAAGGGACAGATCCAATATTTTTTTATGGCATATTTAGGGAACTGATATCTGTATATGATTGCAATTTATACCAGGATTGAATTTAAGGAGAGTGTTGGGCCTTGGCGCAGGTATGTGGTCTACTGAGTACCATTCTACTTTCCCATTGTCTGTACATTCAAGCAACAATAGTATTGGTACCTGATTCCTGCAATGAAATTATAAATCATGGGATACTGCATGTTAGCATAAGTTAGGCAACAATTATCATAAAGGTCCATCTTGAGGCTAAAAATGTTAAGGGTATGCAATACCAATCACTTCCCCAACTTCCCTATAACAATAACTAAATATGCTTGGAAAACGGACTGATGTGGATTTATGATTTATACTTCTGTCTTTTCCTTTGAACTTTCCACAGGGTGAAACAGAAAATTAGCACTGACTCTACTCTGGTGCCTCTCGTCTCAGTTTTTGAGGATGATGCTGAATTGCAAGTTGTGCTTCAATACATTTTTTTCCAAATAGTAACTAATATGAACAGTGAATATTTGTGCACGTGCTCTCCATGATGTTCTTGCTGAGGCACAAAAATAAATGCAGTGGACAGTGATAATGAACCATTGTGCTACTTTCTCTCTTTCCAATCAGTCTCTGCTTCCTGCTTTGCAAAGCTGAGCTCAGTTGTCCTCAGGAACACAGAGTGCAGTGTAAGGAGCCAAAAAAACAAACAGACAACACAGAACAGGAGACAGGGAGGAATGCCAGACAAGAGGGGAGGGAGAGGGTGAGCGGACGGGGGAGCCAGAAAACTATTATACAAACTATTAACACCGAACTGAAAAGAGACCTATGAAGATAGAGAATATACATCTGGACAAACACCATGCAGCTGGTGCAAAGGCTCTACAGCAGGGGGAATTCAAAGCACACGCTAGAACGTGCGCACACTTACTGTGAGAGAGGTGAAGGTCATGCACATGCCCCCGAAGCCATTGAAAGTCAGGGCAATGAAGATAAGGACAGAGAGTTCTGCAAATGACACAAAACAGGTCATGAGTCTTCCAAGACCAAACTACTGTACATTGCCATAGGTCTACATGCACTCGTCAGGTATACTTACCATTTGGTTTGTATGCTCCGTAAGCAATGAGAAGACAGGACAGTCCAAAGCATGTGCTGGAAATAGACAACAGTGTCAAACTCTACTTATGACAAATTGAATTTCAATAAATACAAGGGAAGTGAACAGAGTTTGGTTCCCAGAATGGAAAATCATTGCTTCATAGTTATTCTGGATCATTTTCTGCTTTTCTTACCTGCCCAGCAGTCGTAGCTTGCGAGGCCCATATTTGTCCATGACGATCCCCAGAGGCAGCGTGATGGCTGAGAGCAGGAAGGAGCCCACGGTAAATGCCAGGTTCAGCATCTCGTCCTGCTCCTTACAGATCAGCCAGCCGTTCATCCTCAGGGGCCCGTCCATCGGCACGAGGGGCCTCATCTCCACGCCGTCTCCCAGACCGACCACAGCATCCTCACCTTCATAGTAGTCAGCGTACTCATCAGGTGTCGGCGTTGCGTCAGGCAGAGACAGATTATAGCTGGAGCTGTTACCTACACAACATGATGGAAATAGGAAGAGGATTAGGTGTAAAGACACATTTCGGAGAGGCATGTAAGGAAAATGTGCTCTCAGGTAAGATGGTTCCATTTTGAACATTGTCTTTATTTGATCATACTGATGAACGAAAACACACAGATGGTGAATAATCGTGTGTAAGTGTCTTGAGTTCAGCTCCTATACTATACTACTTTATTAGTTAGTTGGAATGCCAGGGATACAAAGTGATAAACTAGTACTGGCAATAAACTTCTCATTAACTTGCAACCTGCAATGAGATAATGTGAAAAAAGTACAAAGGTTCAGGAGGAGTCCAAGTGAAGAGGAAGAGGGAGGGAAGAGCAGCAGCAGTTTGGAAACTTATTGGTCGTGATGTATGAGCCGATGCTTTCTGGGTTAACCTCCTTGTCACCTCTCTGTTGTCTTTGTAGTCATAGGAGGCAAGTGTGTTTGTAGCATCCCTGTGCGAAACACCATGACGTGCTTCGTTACAAAGTGACAAAGTCTTCATGCAGGAACCCGGATCAAACACATTTTGTGGGAAGCAAGGCTGCAGCGGGGGAGTTGTTTGGAAAGTGTGTCTAAAACGCAGATAGTATTTCCTGTTGTTTGGTAGTTGTTGTTGTTGCAGGAAGATTAGATTGAGCAGAATGGAGCTAAATAAAAGCTTGTGAGAGCCTTTCATTGATTCTTCAAAAATACACGTAATGTTTTCTCATCCTCTGACAAAATAAAGACTGGCATGAAGGGTCACATTATCTGCAAATGCAATCTTGTACAAAAATGTGGAGAATGAACTCATAAATAAAAAGGCTCAACAGACTATATGCACATATTCCCTTTAACCACTGTTATAACTGTCTACCTCCGTATGTATGTTTGTTAAATGGTTTAGTATTAATTATTTTATAGATATTTATAGACGGCCCCAGGTAGAGACATGGGGAAATAACACAACTTATATCATTGATAACTTATAAAGCCTTGAAAGAGTCTTAGATTTAGAAAACAGAAGAAAAGAATCATAAATCTCTCAGCCGAACCTTTCCATGAGTCGCTTAAAGTCTTTACAGTAACATCTGACTGATAAGCAGCAGCGAGGGGCAAAGGTGATCAAGTGAGTGATAAGACATACAGCTGAATGATGAAGGTGAACAGAGTAAACTGTGCATGAAGGACTGATAGTTTTGTTTGTCTGATTTCATTGAAATATCATGAGATACCTTGTGTACTAAAAGGTAAAATGCATGAAAGATCATATACGGATAAAGTCTAGGGAGAATGAGCAAAAGTCTTTTTTTTAATAAATGAACTGTCTTTGTCATGTATCTTTTTAAAATGTCTTATCACACCCTGCTTTGTTCCCAAAGGCAACATTTCCATGCAAGTAGAAAATAAAGATTTTGTATTCTACTCTAAAATTGTTCTAAAGTAACACTTGTGAACTCATAGAGCAAATATGTTTACATGAGAAATAAATGTCCATACCATATTAGACTGAATATCTAAAGTGAAGTAGTACCCACTGTACTCAATGACCTGCATAGAAAAATCAAGCTTTATACTCATTCCCCTCATATCTAAAATTCCTGCACCGCAACATTATGTTATCTTGTGTTCCGACGTTTCATTCTGACTGTCAGCCTCCACCACAGATCTGACTTTTCTACTGTTCATCACTTTACTATCAGTCCTCTGACCCTTTATCTGTGGACTTTAAGCTTCCATATTACCAGTAATAAAACCCTGCTGTGGATCTTTCTGTATCACCGGTCACATGCCTGGAAAGAGCTGAGCTGGTGCTGTCCTCTCCCTTCTTATATCATCACAACAAGATAAGACGGCTGTGGCTTTGCCCCAGGAAGTCACCTACAGTCGTGGATGCTCGACTGTTGCTTCAGTGGTGGGAGTGTGTGTCGGTGCTGAGCATCACAGATTACTTGTACTGCAGGGTGGTGCACGGTGTTGATTATTTGGAGGTTCTTGGTAGAATTTGCTGCTAAATGATTTGAAAGATCAAATCAAGTGTCCGACAAAGTTGTTTGGGGACAGGATTAAAGGATTCTGTGAATCCTCCTGTACCAATAACGAGTTTGGTAAATCAATGGTGAGAGAGACAAAACCTGATTCCAACCAGTAGCCTGGTGTCTACTTCCTCAGCAGTGCTCAGCACAGTCAGGGAACAACACTGTGTCACCTCAGGTCCAAAGGATAAGTCTGGTCTGACTCTTTTCTGTCTTTCCCTTGTGTGTTTATCAGTTGTCTCTCAATAAGTCTGCAGCCACTTTAGCTGGACTTGCCTTACACTGGAGCCTTTTTACCTCTGGACCACTTTGCCCGCCTGCAACCCTGGCTCTCTGTTTAATTTAACTTATCAGGTTTAATCTCCCAGGACCCTGCAAAGACAGCTCATGACCCCGTCACATAAAACAAGTATTCTTCTGAAAGAATGAAAGAGGCAAGACGGAAGCAGTGTTGAGTTACGTGTGTTAAATAAAAGCTTGCTCCTGTCCCTTCATCCTAAATCAGGATGATACTCACTGACTGACCCATCTCCACAAATCCTTACATTAACAGCAAATAGTTGTGCCAATAAGTTTTTCACTATAAACTTATGAAGACAGATGCCCCAAACATGAGAAATCTAGGCCCATGTGTGGAAATGTTAAATGGAACAAGTAGGAGAAAAAGAGTGTGTGTCCTTTCTAAAGTACAGTAGTTATGACTCACCCTCCTCATTGCAAAGGTACGAATAGAAGCCCTCGGATTTGAGCATGATGAGGAGCGACCCCCATCCCAGCAGCACGGCAGAGAAGAGCAGATTCTCAATGATAGCAGTCACTGCCATCCACCAGCGCTTGGCGAAAGCCGTGGCCAGGGTTGGAGCCATGGTTGAGGGGTAGGAAATTACAGGTAGAGGAGAGTCAGTGGAGGTAGAGAGAGAGAGAGGGAGGAGAAGAGCAGGCTGGAAGCTCGGAGAGAGAGTCTCCCTGACTGACGCTCAGGATGAAGGATCTCTGATCACTTATCTGTGGAGAGGAAGGGGGAGGTTTTATAGTTAGCCTATCACACTGAACTCACTGACAGACAGGAAGGTGTGAGTTTTAAAAGATCACAAGATAAAACCACTTAACTTTTCACCCAAATGAATATAACTTGTTTTCAAGTAAGAAAAGTTTCTGCAATTACCATGCTCTGTTTGTCTTGATTAATTGACCCCTTATATCTAAACAAAGAGGAGAGGTAATGACATTCACACTAAAGATCTAAACTATCTCATAGATGGCCAATGATTAACTCTCCTGCTATAGTGCAAAGATCATTACATCACTCTGCTCTTACGTCACAACACAGGTATTATAATAACTGAAGCCTCTGCACTGGTGTCACAGTTTCTGCTGTTCGCTAGAGAACTGGTCCAAACTGGACCCAAGAGAGAAAAGTGGGGCTCCCTCACTGCTCCCTCACGACGAGGCCCCCTTGTCTCCCCCATCCACCCCAACCCACAATGCCCTTCTCCCCTATGCAACCCCTAAATGTCCTCTCGGGCTCATCCAACCGCGACTGCCCTCTGCAATTACTGTGGTGCACCCAAAAAACACAGAAGGGAGCTACCAGACAAACAATAAACAAACCAGCCCTTACAGTCAACTCACACACACACACACACACACACACACACAATGCTGTGCGTACACCCACACACAATCTGCTCTACCACTGCCTGGAAGTGGCTGCAGGGATAACAGTGTGTCCCATGTAAAAACTAATAATCAAAGATAGTGTTGGTAAATGTGTTGCTTTATTCAATTAAAAACGAATCTTTCCTCGCTACTCATTCAGTTTTCTGCAGCACAAGATAAATCACAGGTGGAATATATGGAAGCATCTTTACCTCTCCAGGCTGTAAGGAGCAGCAGCAGCTCAGGCCAGCTCCACTCTTCCAGATGTACCCTGGTCACTCAGCTTTAAATGACCAGTCCTCTGAAAAAAGCCAGGTTTATATACTCAGGCTGGCTGCCTTCACATGGCGCCCCCTATTGACAATGTCTGATACCTGCACCTAAGCCAAAGAGCATTCAACATCCTATTTGGGCCTTGCACATTGATTTTTCAGGAGGCAGTTCGAAGGCATGTTTTGAAGGTGATCATTTTCTGAAGAAACTGTACATTTAAGCAAAAGCAAAAACAAAAAAAAAAAGTGTCTGTTTTAGTAAGAATGATTTTATCACGGCCACTGTGCAGCAGGAAGTCTGTGAGCACCTTAACTGACTGAATGGAAAGGATTAATCAGGCCAAACAAAGTTTGGCTTTAAACATAATGGACTTCTGCAGATAAGGATGCATCAACAGTTGTCAGATCAATAACAGGAATTGATAGAGAGCAGACTGGAGCTGTGACTCATCTGTTCCAGTTGTTTTTCCAAAACTGTTTCCTGTTGTTTACCGTGTATTGGATGTTTATGTGGGTATGAGCTGCTGAGGTAAACACCCAGATCCAGGGAAGCAGTCAGCTCATGTGAGTTAATTTAAACCAGTGGTTTCTCAACATTAATGCTGTGCTCACAAATTTACCTGATCAACAGTCCTGCCTCTTTTGGTTTAGTGGATACAACCAGAGTTTAAATGTTTTTTCATTGCATATGTGAAAACTGATGCAAGACAAACTTTACTCAGTTAATTGTTCCTAATTTAAACCATTTAAATTGAAAGCTTAACAAACTTAATGTATAGGTAATTAAAACCTTGTATGTTTGTCTGTAGTTGTGATGTCAATTGTTTTCTGCAGGATTTTGCTCTCAGCTCTGCAGCCCTTTGGTTGTGTCTTAACTTTTGGTAGTGTATTTATCATTGGCTGTGTTTTAATAATTTGGTCTAGAAGTTTAAACATATTATATTTTGAAAGTGAAGTTTACATAGTCAGCAAACTTGCAGTGAAAAACTGTTTTCCAAGTTTGAGACTGCTGATTGTCCACTTACAAAGAGTGATGCTGAAACTGTGATCCATATGCTAATCGATGGCTGAGTGAACAGTCAAGCTATCTAAACAAACACTGATATGGTAATTTGTGCTGTTACTGTGATCAACACCCCTGATTAAAGACAAAAACAACCCCACCAAGTTTGAAATTCAGATTTGCTTTTAATCTGGCATCCTACTATCCTCATGCTGATGGGGCATTGGATCTATTGATCTATCAGTCCTAGAGGAACCAGTCAGACTGTTTGAGTATCAGAAGTTGAATGATCAGCTGATCTCAGTTTTGCTGATGCTGCAGTGGATGTATCTGCCCAGATTTAACAGTTATTTACAAGCTCATTACAAAACACACACATCAGCTAATCTGGTGCAGTGTTTTATTTCCTAAACCTTATCAAAAACACCTATTGATCTGATCAGGTACCACAGGATATCACACACTTCCAAGACAGGGTGCAATCGTGTGATATGTTACAGAAGTACCAACGAATTCAATATGTTAAAATACAAATACCTCCACATTTCCTCCAGTAATATTCTGCATGTGGATCTGAGTATAACATGTTTTCTGTGATAAAATCTACAAAAAGAGTTGAACAGTATTGCATATTTAAGAAAAAAAAAAATCTTGTCAATTTACTGTTTTCAATTTGATTTAACGCCATCTTGTGGTGTTAGAGCACATGAAAGACAAACTAGAGGGGCTTTCAGAGAGCGTACCACTCCACCAACAGTCCCTTTATGAAACCACATTTAAATACACTGGATCCAGATCTTTATTTGGTTCTGCACTCATAAATATCGGTCTCTGAGAACGAAAATGTCTCACAATGTTAAAGGAAGTGAAAAAAAAGGATTGAATCCGCCCAGATCCAGTTCCTTCCTGACCCATATCACTTCCTCCACGTTTTGTGGAAATCCGTCAAGTAAAGTTTGTGTACACATACAGAACAATATTTTTTATTGCTCTTTCAAAACTGTAATAAAATATTTGGTATAGCAGTGCTTTGCTCAAACACAGTGCAAGATGTCAGAAAAAAAAAAAAAAAAAAAAAAAAAAAAAAAATCCACAGTATAGCAACAATAATAACAAATAATTTTAGCCCTAACAAATGAAACGATCCTGAACATTTTACAGAATTGCAGTCTCAGATAAATCATAACTGCCCTGGTAAGTGTTTGATATTTATATACAGAACATATTCTCCAAACACACCAACAGTGATTCTTGTCCCACAGTCAAGTGTCAGACTTCTCTCATCAGTGCAGTTCACCTCAGGCCAGGAAACCGAGTATGAGCAGGAGCAGCAGCATCTGTATGGAGCCTTTAGTTTCTGGTGCTGGGGAAAGACCACTTGTTCCTGAAGGCAGTGGGAAGTAAAATCATTTGTTTCAGGAAAATCTCCCTTAAAGGTCCAATGTGTAAGATTTAGGTGAAAGGGATCTATTGGCAGAAATATTATGTAGAATAATCCTCATGATGTTTTCACTAGTTAGTTTCATCTAAATTGTATGAATTGTAGTTTTCTTTTTCCCCAGAAAAGGCCCTTTATATTAAAATATTTTATATTTAATTCGAGGGGACCTGCTCTACGGAGGCCGCCATGTTTTTTACATTAGTCCAGACTGGACAAACTCAACACCTTGAGTTTTTATGACAAGTTTAGATTTCCACAGGGGGAGGTGAGGGGTGTTCAGCTGCAACATGCAATTTCAACACAAGATATCACAAAATTCTACACACCGTACCTTTAATATTACTAATGGAAATAATTTAATGTGTATTTTAAATTGGGATACAGTGTTACATCCAATTTATTCAGAAATGAACTGACAATACTGAATGTAGATTTAATATTATGTAACATTTAGGTGCTTACCATGTGAGGCGTTCTCTGGAAAAGAAAAATATATAAATTGAGATGTTTGACAAATCCTCTTCAACTGCTGTTCATTTCCATTCACACACCACACACGCACACACACACACACACGCACCTTTGATGGTGAATGTGGTCTCCATGCCTGCGTGGATGTGATCAGTCACATGACAGTGGAGCAACCAAGTCCCTGGGTTCCCGGCCACCATCTCCACAGTCTGGAAAGTCCCGGGGAAGAGGTCAAAGACGTCTGCACGGTGGACACGGTCCGTCTGGCACACACGCACACACACGCGTGCACACACACACACACACACA